ACAACAGAAAAGTGGGTGAAGGGAGATGTCGCACAGTGTGAGATATGACAAAATAATAATTTATAAATTATCAAGGGTTCATGAGAGCGGGGTAAGCGGGGAGGGAGGGGGGAAATGAGCAGCTGATAATCAAGGGCTCAAGTAGAAAATAAATGTTTTGAGAATGATGATGGCAACAAATGTACAAATGTGCTTGATACAATGGATGGATGGATGGATTTTGATAAGAGTTGTACGAGCCCCCAATAAAGTGCTTTAAATTTTTAAATAAATAAATAAATAAATAAAGACTTCCCAAAGGACTCCAAGGTCTTAAATTCAAGAGAAGTACTGCAGTGGGAAAACAGGAAATTTGGGAGTTAGTAGAGAGTGTTAGAAATGTTCTTAAAATGTTGGCAATTAAGTAATAGGATCCAAAGTAAGAATGGGGCTAAAAGACTTTAAGATAAATGGAAGTCAGCACAGCTTAGAGAGTTTGAGGCAGTTGTTAATGTGTGATTAAGTTTTAAAAAAGGAATTCATCAACAGACCAATGCCAAGTTAAAAAAGACAGGAGAGGTCATGAGTTGTTGGTGACACCACCATTTAATGCTGCTTTCCTCTCCTCTCTGCAGTGAGAGTGGCTTCAAAACACCACCTAAGTATCCACGACACATCTCTTTCCTCACTTTCTGGCTTATGGTTCTTGGCAAGAGAACAGCTATAGTAATTATAGAAATGCAAATGAAAGTAAACTATGGTTGGCTGTCTCACAGCAGCCCCATGTGTAACGTAACCAAAGGTTGTCTGGTCTTGCACAATCCTCACAATCAAGACAAGCTAGCCCAACGAGAAATCTCCAACAAGACTAACGCAAAACAAAATGCACGGGTCTCGATGGTTCTGCTTGAGGTAGGCCACCCTCTGAAGCCTCTCCACGTCACCACTGGAGGAGGAGAACCCTGCTCTTCGGCTCGAACACTTACCACTGGGTGAAAGTAAGACATTCGGCAGCAAGGATCCTACCCTCTCTTAAAGAAAGTAAAAGTCCAGCAAGTGAGGGAGCCAAGAAAAGCTTTAAGAAGCTAATGGAAAGAATCGACTTCCTCCCAAATTATTTCCCTCTACCTCTACATTCCACAGCAGGAATCTTCCAGATCTGTACTTATTTTGCTGCGTAGTTCACATTTTAAAATATTTCAATTTAACACACAACATATATACACTCTATATACAAATACATATTTGTGCATATCTCGTATGTATGTTTCAAATAAACATACATTCATATTCAGTATGTTATGTATGTATATACATTGTATGTTTACATACACATAGATAACTGTATATGTATGTTATATTGCCTAACTACCAAGCTTAAGGTATATCTAAGTACTTTTTTTTCCGTTATCCACCCTGGTTTTAAAACAATGTTAAACTTATTTCTTGGACTCCCATTTAAAAAACCTTAGTAACTTTTCAAAACTGGCTAACCATGAGTTTCTAACAGAACCTTTTCCTGCTTAGACAAGTGTCTCTGGACTCTGACTATCTATGATCCCAGGCTATGATTAGAGACTACTTACACTTTTTTTTTT